TTTGACGAAGATTGTTGCACGAGGTGGTTTGCCGCATAAGCCGCGTAGCGGCGAATGCGGCAAAAGCCGAGTGCGACAAGTAGACAAATGACACGTGTGCTTTATACTATTTTTTCTATTTCGACTTTTATTTTAAATAATAAATTATACAAATTATAAATATTGCCTTTAGGCGTTGTTAGGTAATTTTAAACTATCATTCAGTGTATGTTGGTAATAGACACAGTTCATTTATTTTCACGTTGGCTAACCTGATTCCTGTATTTTCAAACTTCAAACTTTTAATTATTTGGTCATAATTCCATTTTGCGGCAGTTATGATGAATACGGATGACAAACACGTCTCTTGTACCCCACCAGAGATCCAAGAGATTGCCAATGAAGCGACGTTAAATTTACTGCCTGTAAAATCGAAAGTAAAGTACGAGGAGTACAACATTTTTGAAAACTGGCTGGCCGAGAAGGGAGTTCAAAAAGTAAGCAAGAATGTACTGCTGGCATATTTTACTACGCTAAGTAAAAATAAAAAAAGTTTTACCCTTTGGAGTATATATTCAAAATTAATCGGAATTAATACAATCGGTCAAGTTCTTCGTACGTGATTTACACTTTACAGGTTATGTTTAGTTTTGATTTGACGGATACCGTTGACGGCAAAAAAGCGAGGGGTACCAATCCAACAAAATAAAAAAAATAATACGTTTCTATTTCTTTCAGCATCATTTCTGTCTAGAAACGCACGCAAACTGGGCCAATCAAGTACGGTTTCGGTATTGTTTCCACATCGAAATAGAAAATAGCTATTTGTGTATTAAGAGCGCAAAATGATATATTGTCGATTGAAAGAGACAGTTGACGCGCGACGAAGGAGCGCGGCAATCTCTTGAAATCGACAATCAATTTGCGCTCGAATTACACACAAGATTTTTTCTACAATCGAGCAGTTCACATATTTCCAGAAATTTAAATTTTTCACTCAAATCATATTAATCTTATGCCCAAATGAAAGATGTCATTTACTCGTTGTCATTGGATACTCTGAGCAATGCATATTTGATTTATACTTAATAATTGAGAGAGCGAGCGTTTTTTCTATTTTGTCGCTTATAAGCGACAAAGTGACATTCCTCGAAAAAGATGACGTTTGCGTTGTCAAATACGAGCGCAAATGCCTACTTTGTATATTGATTGTAGAAAAACACAATTTACTGCACATAAGTAGGAAATACATAGCCATTCATCCTAAAGTAACATCACACAACAGATTTTTTATCAATTATCAGAATGGAAAGTGCACGGTTCAACCTGTAGGGGTTCACAAAGTTGGTGGTGTTCCCAGTGTGGTGGCCAAATTCTTCACTGAGAGAAAAATCTGTTAGCAGTAATAAAAAAAATTTAATACTATATGTGACTATACAACTTGTTATTCACGATAATTAAACAGAGTTTTCTGTACCTGTTTGATTACAGTCAAATTTTAACTTTATTTGTAATTACATCAATTACCGTAGGTATTTGAAAACCTGGCAACAGACATAAACTTTCTTTAGAGACAATTAAAGGCATTTATTATGAATAATAAACAGTTTAATTAGAATAAGTGTACGTTAAATAACCTTAAATAGTACACTAAATTGTTGTAAGTATATAATATATTTAGGAAGATTTAACCGCAAAATAACTGTAGGTAGCAAAGCGAGGTGTTGTAGAAACGTAGTTAAATTAGAATGGTTTTTAATTGACTTACTACAGTACAACTTGTTTAATTGTGTTAAAAATCTATTCCTTAAGGGCAATTGGAATTAGTAATAACGTAATTCACAATGGTATTTATTAGAAAAAAATGAAAAACGTACATATTACACTTAAAAACAACAATCCTATACCTATCTAACAATAAAAAATGAAAATCAAATGAAAATGCCACTTAGGATACAATTAATAAATTGTGATGTAATATTCATTATTTACAATGATGCACTGATTGACATAAACAATATCTGAAAGCATAATATACTCGGTCGTGTCTGTACGTTACACCTTGAACACATCACGACATAAAATTTGAACAATTTTCATCAGTGAGGGCCAATTGCACCGTCAAAATTAAGTATCCCTTAAAGTTAAGCATAACTTAAATAAAATACCATAGCAACGATTGTCTTAATAATCGTTGCCATAGATTTTAAGTTCGACTTAACTTTAAGCAAGGCTTAATTTTTTTGGTGCAACTGGGTCTCAGTAGCTTAAAAACTTAAACAATAATTTCGGTAGACAGCAATAGTAGCAAAAATATAACTCTTTCTACTTACCTAAGAAATAGTCGAAATATACATCAAGTCCCCATTTAATAAGTAATGACTTAAATTCGCTCATTTTGGGGTAGGTATGGCGTAAATTTCAGCTCTTGGTACACTAGGTACATATAATAAAACCGAATAAAACTTACACCCGCACAGCACAATGTATACCTGCATGCGTATATTAAGAAATTGGTATACCTACAGCTTTTATGGTCGTCAAAAAACGAACGAAAACGGCTTCTGAAGACGATTGCTACAAGTAGATGTTTACTCGCCATAAATTAGTATTTCATAACGCCAACTAAACTAAACGTTTGTGGCAGCTACAAAAACCTAATTAAGCAAGAATATCAAATTCAATGCATCAGTTTTATAACTGCAGCGAAAACGCTATCTGCTGTTATTGTACCTATGAAAATCTACAAGCGTTTAGCAAATATGTCTAATTGCCCTTATCCACCACTTCTAGAAAATCGATTTTACTTAACACAGTATATGAGATTATTGTCATAAATTGATAACTAATTGAGGCAAATAAAAAGACATTTATTGTAATTAAAATATTTTCAGGTAGACACTTTGATTATATTATTTCTCTCAGTGTTGAATTTAAACAAATGCTTCTACCTACACGAGCCATTCTTTTCGAAGAACTTCTGCAAGTCTTCTGGCAAATGCAGGTGGAACTATGACTGACATCATGCGCTATGGAGGATGGCGCTCGGCTAGTGTCGCGGAAAGCTACATCGAAGGGTCGAAATGACAAAAGTCAACGTTGCGACGAAAATCCTAGGCGGAGCGGGTCCTTCATCTCATCATAAAGAAATCGAAGAAAGACATCAAATGAGTGGACAACTCTTTATAAAGAACAATGTGGATTGCGTGATTAATATTAACAATTACTATTCGAATAAGCACTCCCCGAAGTAGGTGTTTCTTCAGGTTGATTCCTTTAGGAATATTAAAGTTATTTCAAAAATAATCGAAATCTCCCGCTAGAAGGACTTGTCTTCCGCCAGTTAACTCACGCGTGATTTCCTTTGTTTCTCTTATTGGGGGGGGGGGGGGGGGGGATCACTCGCACTTTACAATATTTTCTATATCTATCCTCACGTAATTTATGCCCGCACAACCGCAATTAATGGGAATATCCTCATTACGCACCATCACCGCTACTCTCCCTGCTTTATTTTTGAACATATTCGGGGGCAGTTGTACTTCCCACTTCCAATATTATAACTATGTTTATACTCAACTCCCTCACGCTGTGTTGCATTAGATCACAAGCTGCTCTTGAGTTATTTAGATTTATTTGCAGAAATCTGTACATTAAATGACACGTTAAAAGATATGTGCATATAAAAAATTGTGAGAAAAACAAGGTCCTCCTTCCCTGCTTCGCTTATCTTATGGCATTCTTTAATTTGGAGCATGACATCGTCCAAAAAGAGTGACCTTCTCTGTCACACATGTAACATTTTTTCATATTGGTGCTTGTCCCGGAAGTGCCCCATTTCTCCGCAATTGATACTCTGCTTCTCTTCACTTGTGGCCTTCCCCCTGTATCTCCCAGCACGTCTGCATTGTGTTATCTCCAACCTATTGGTCGGTCTACAGGGGGCTACTCCTCTTTATTTTCCGAATTACATGGCCGTTTATTTACCCGCGGTTTTGTTTTAAAAGCGCTCCTACTGCTCGGAATTGTTTATTTGTGTAAATTTTAGCACACGACCTTGCTACGAATTCGGCGGCCGGTCCATCTTTCTCCATTTTGCATAAAGTTAAATTCTCGTACTTTGCCACACATTCAATTTCTTATAATTGTTTCCCAACGACGTTCGCGCCATTATATTAAAAAAAAAACTTGCCCGAATGAACGAAGTGGTACGCGCACACTCTTACAAAAAATCTTACTGCGAAATATTTGGAATTATGCGAAATAATTACATAATTCGTGTGACATTCGTGACATGATTCGTACGTGCCAACTCTTTGAAAGTCCAGCCTCGACTGATTTTCACGCACCAATATTTTACGCGATCGCTCATGACGCTAAAACGAGGAATAATTTTAGCGCGCCAAAAAAAGGGTACGTGCTCGCTAACGGTCTAACACAAACTGACAAAAATCCTCGCATCATGGTCTCACTAACTTTTTGTCTCGAAAAAAGCCCGCTTTAACCGAAAATTTACAGAATGTAATCGTTCGTAGGTATTCCTGACATACATTTGTTCACGTTTGCTATGAAGTGGTACATTTGGAAATTTCCTGATCTCCAATACATTTTATGCGTCATAATAATCGAAAGTACAAAATAATTTATCGTTGAAGATGTGTTTTCATAATACAATAATCCTGAGTGCCTTTACTGCTTTAGGTAACCTCTGACTGAACAAAATATAGTATTTTTTTTGTGGTCAGATGTTTAGGCTAAAATGGTAATAAATCCGTTGACTCATCTGCGTGCATATAATATTTTCATCAAAACAATTTATTTGGAAAAAACTTCATGAAGTACTATGAAAATAAGAAACTATTATCGTCCACCGTCAAGGACATAGGTACCTACTTGAGATTTACGTAAAATATTTACCTCCACAAACCATCTTTAATATAAGGTTTACTTGTTGTGTCCTTTGCATTGTTAATCGACTGATTTCATTAGTACCACAAATAACACGTATTTTGTTCTTTCAGCTGATGTGGTACTTTGTACCCTACCGCTTGGTGTTTTAAAAGTAGCAGTTGCTGCTACCAGCGGCCAGCTTAACACCGTACAGTTCAGTCCGCCGCTACCAGACTGGAAGACGTCCGCCATTCAGAGATTGGGATTTGGAAATTTAAATAAAGTTGTCTTGTGTTTCGAAAGAATTTTTTGGAATCCGCAGGCTAATTTGTTTGGTCACGTTGGAAGTACGACGGCAAGCAGAGGGGAGCTCTTCCTGTTTTGGAATCTGTATAAAGCCCCAGTATTGCTGGCCTTGGTTGCCGGAGAAGCCGCAGCTATTATGGAGAACGTTACCGATGACGTCATCGTTGGAAGGTAATTTAACATACCTACCTACCTATCGATTTGTAGCTAATTCATTGCATACATGTCGTCAAAGAAAAGTATCCAAAGGATCTCAATTTTTTTTCGTACACAATTCTAGCATTGATTGTAATCGTTTTGTGCAGATGTATAGCTGTACTTCGTGGAATATTTGGACAAAGTGGCGTTCCTCAACCGAAGGAAACCGTTGTAACCAGATGGAGAGCAGATCCATGGTCTAGGGGATCTTACAGCTTTGTTGCTGTTGGTAGCTCCGGAAGTGACTACGATTTGTTGGCATCTCCCGTCATTCCACCTAATGATCAAGGTGTTTCCGTAACGTCAGGCCCGGCTAAACTGTTTTTCGCCGGCGAACACACAATTAGAAACTACCCCGCTACGGTCCACGGAGCCTTTTTGAGTGGCTTACGCGAAGCCAGCCGAATCGCCGACCAAATAATTGGAAATTTGTCTCATCCTAGTGCAAGTTTAGGAAATTAATTGGTTTGTTTACCTATAATAATGCAGTTCTTATTTTTTTTAGTACATTTGTCAATCATTACTTCTGCCTTTCACTTTTGTATTATTAACAACGAATTGTAACTAGATTACACATATTTCATAAATAAAGATTAAAGTATTATGATGCAAATTTGCATTAGGTACAACGATTAATTTTTCAAAAAATGTTTTTCTTTATTTATTGGATTTTTCAACCAACATGCTTAACCTAGTATCACGATTGAAATAAAGAAATGCATATTTCATCACTTCTTGGAGGGTGTCTCCCAAACGAAACACGTTGGACTCTCGGTTTATTTGGAAAAAGTGCTTGTTTTGATCCCCTCTATCACCAATTTTTTTTTACATGCGGTCATATAACACCCTGTACAAATAATTTGTCTGGGAAGCAGAAACTAAAATTATTTTTAGAGATCGTCTTCATATGGCTGACGCGCATCCGGCATCATTACAGCAGCAGTACAAATACAACTGATACATTGTACATTGTAGGCCAATGAAAAAGTAGTAAAAGGTAAGTGAATGTTTTCCAAAAGGAAATGGGTAAGGTGAGGCATGGGACATATTAAACGAAATGATACGATCTAATGGGATAACCTACAAATAAGGGGTAAAAGAGTAAGTAGACAGGTATGGGTAAATATCATAGGCCAAAAATTCAGCTACTACGAAAATGTTTGCTAATTACACAAGCTGGTAGTAAATAAATTATAATAATTTAGCTGAAAGGACTAATTAATTCCTCCTCTTTTAATTGATTTATTTTGTAATTTTATCACTTCGTGAATATGCATTGAAGTGTTTCAAAGAAAATTACACTGGTTTGAGGTTAGTTTTAAATTGTTTACTACAGCTGACTGTAAGTCTAGTGCCTTAAATGTTGGTTGTGTAAGAAGCAGATCTAGGATGAATTACACCTATTATAATAAAGACATTATTATTATTATTCTGCTAGCTCGATGGCCCCCACCGAGCCTCTAACTTGACTCTGGAAGCCACCGTCCATTTCAACCCCTAATAGCGGTCCGCGTTCTCGTAGTTAATTGGTGCTGAGTACTGTCATTTATGCGTTCGTTCGTTAGACCGAACTTAATAATAATAATAATAATATTTATTCATGTGCTGTGATGCCACTTACAATCGTCAATAAACAACTTAAAAGCGACACAGTTAAAAAAATTTGAGCAGATGCTCTCCTCCCGGACCTACACTTAATACGCGCCGTTCGTAGGTTTAGAGATGGTGGCAGTAGTGTAGCTTAGTAGGCACTTACCTAAAAAGTGACAGAATACTCGGAACCACTGCCTACGCTCAGTTAATCCAAAAATCAACGATAATTTAGAACGCGTAACATCCAATTGTATCTTAAAATTCCACAAGACAACGTAAAACATAGGGTCTTAACACGATCATCTAGATCTAGCAGGCCTGAGTCTGTGCGAAGGGGAGTGGCGTAGTAAATAAGTGTAAATCCCAGTCTCACTACAAGACCTTGCATTCAAGGACCATTACGGATAAAACCAGTTCCTCCCCTTCCCAAACCCTCGATTTAAGGGAGAAGGGTGGTAATGGGTAGAAAACAGTTCCGTTTGAGACCTTAATTAGATTACCTTGAAAGGTAAAACCTAGAACTAACAATAATTTTCTATGGCGCGCGTATTGGGTCTAAAAAATAAAGCTAATTTCATTATTTCGCATGGACGTCCGAAGGACGTTTGATGAATATCGAGATGTAAATATATACACACATGACACAAATAAGTACAGTCCTAGTTAAATATTAAGTAGGTAATTAGTAAGTACTTCACCTTACAGTTATAATTGATACTGGCCAGCTATATAATATTGCCATATTTATTCATTGTTGATGGGGTAGTACTGTTGTTGATAGCTTGCCTAGCATTTATAGGATCTAAGTGCTAAGAAGCTCTGAATCTCAAACTGTAAATGTTTATCAATGTTTTCAGTATAATCCAGTACTATAAATAGCAGAAAGACCTAGATTACCCCAATGTCTCCAACTAAACAAAAACATTGTTTAAGGAAAGGCGCTCAAAAACTGAAGATAGGTGCACAAATCTTCACAAAACAAGCACAAAACAATTCTCCGTGAATAAAGGGCGTTGCGTTAAGTTGCAACCTTCTACAGGCCTTTTAATTTCCTTCAAAACAAAGGCGCCCAAAACATTGGTGCGACGCACATATCAGAGCAAAACAAGCACAAATCTTTGATATTAGTGTCGTGTCGATACGAGGATGTTGGGTGTTTAACATTAGGTTGGACCACCAACGAAAAATTGTGACTTTTTGCTAAACGAAAGGTCCGAAAAACTTTGGGATTGGCGCACAAATCGCCACAAAATAGGCGCAAATTTACAGCGTAGGCTTCGAGTCTCTCCGATTGTGAGGGGTGCTGCGTTAAGTTAGCACCACTAGAAATTTGGAATTTTTGCGAAACGCAAGGCGCACAAAATCTTAGTATTAGCGCACAAATCAGCCCCAAAGCCGCAGCAGTATTAGTGTCATGTCGGGTCGGTACGAGGATATGTCACAAAGTTAGACCCCTAACGAAAGAAGCATAAAACTTGCAGATTGGAGCTCAAATCGGCTCTAAATGAGCACCTTCTTTGGAGATGTAGCAAATTGGGGTGCAGATTCAAGGTTTTCAAATTTGAATAGACAGAAATAGCGTATGTCTTTTATATTTTTAACTTGTTAAGTTAGTTTTTAAATGATACGCTCCAATCCTGCGCCTATTATAAAAACGTGAAAATTCACAAAATTTAATTAAGTTGAGCAAGTCTACCCGATGCATCTTTATAGTAGGTACTATCCTAGGCTAGTCGGACCGTCGTTGTAACTAATTCGGCATAAACAGTCAGTTTCTAAGACCTATGGTACCTACACCAAGAAACCTTAGTATCCCTTCTTAATAAATTTAGTATTAGCGTATCTGCAGTAAGGTTATATTTTAATCTAAACAGAAAATGTCAAATTAAAGATGAAAATGTTATAGCAAACCATTATTTCATAATTAAATATGTCCGTAAATGGTTAGGCAAACTATAACACCAGCCATCTGTCAATAACCTGAAAGATGTATTTGTATCGCAGACATTTAGGTACACGCTAGTTTGTATAGAGATGCTTCTTAGATACACTGATAAAAGATTTCGGCTACTTTAAGTGCTGTGCTATTTTTTCCGACTCCCGGCTACAATAACAAACCTTTAACGTCTATTTTGATTAGGATATTACATGTAGACAGTTAAATTGTTGTCATAAAAAGTGGCCAGCTTTGCTATGCTAACTGTTAGATTCTTTAATTGTAGCCGACATGTTAATATGTGCACTCTTTCGCTTCCGCGTGACATTAGAAACCATCTTGGATACCATCTTTGTTAACATTGCTAATGTAATATTTTTTGTTCATTAAAGAAGCGGGTTGGGACATACGAAAAGAAATTAGTTCCGGAATGTTAGTTGACAAAAGCATCGTAAGAACAAACATTATTTACCGTCTTGTTACCCAAAGCAGGTGTCAAATATCAACGAACTCTTAAAGAAATGCAATGGCCCAGGTGAAGCGTTTAAATTTATTCATTGTTTTAAAAGTTTATAATTTTTCGAATAGTTTGGTTAACTGGAAAGGTAGGTTCATTAGTTATGTAAATCGAATTCGCCTTTAAATAATGATTTAGTGTTCCAGGTATGTACGAAGTTTTGATGGAACATGGATAACACAACGCGAGGCAAAGTTATCTCAAGTATGATATATGTTATTACTAAGCTTTTAAGGGTTTAGGTGGTTTTATTAATTAAGGGCGTGGAAATGAAAGGAACGTAATTAGTATTGGTTTTCCGACCGCCTCTTTTTTTTCGAATTTATGTGACATTTTCAATTTTTTTTAACAAAGGTCGTTTCGTTCAAAGTAGCTCTTTATTATACAAGATCAATTTGAATCTGAGAGGGGCACGGTTGCCCTGGCGGGTCTGGAGGGTGATTTGTCATGTCAGTGTCGCGGTGATGGATGTGCTGGGCCAACGCACATTAGCATATTGAAAGGTTTGATTCATGTCCGAGAATTCCCGTTGTTTTAAAATAGCAACAACAGTTCGGTACAAGCACTTGAAAAATGAATCCTATTGTCGGTTGCACATTGGCATTTACTTGGTGAATTGTTATGCATAAGAAATGCATTCGGTTCCGAATCGAACATCCGTTTAAAATGTAAATTTTTACATTCTTATTAACCCCGTCGTACGAACTTATGTAATTTGGCTTGTAAGATAAAATAATCGGGAATGCATTTGTTTAATAATTATGTGTTCTTCCTCTTTAAATCAGTTCTGACAGAATATAAGTGATTATACACTTAATCACTGGATGCTGATATGAATTTAATTAGTAAATTTGACAAGTGTAACCAATTACTGTTTTTAATCAGATTAGGAATTACGTGCTTGTATCTTAAGTACCTACTAAGGTTCTAACGGGATGGATTTTGTAATTTAGCCATGTTTCTAAGTATTCGACTTGCCTAACCAATTAGAATTGGTAGGTAACTTCCGAAAAAAAAATGAGCTATACAGTTATACTAATTAATTTTCATAAAAAATCCTCTGCTAAATATGTGCCCATCGTACTGCAGTTAGTACAGAAGTTGTTAATCGGCTACACTTAGGAAAAAGAATTTAAGGTATGCATTTCTAATAAGTATACATTAACATACAATGATTTAATCTGATTAACCTAACTAGGTATATATTAACCGTATATGCTGGTGTGTTCCTAGAGGAAGAGCCAATGCTGTTAAGATAGCGATAAATATTACACTATACAAACGTTTAGTGTTCATTTCAATAGTTGTGTTATTAGGTGGAAGTAGGTACTCCACTTCTCCTTGAAGAACATCAAGATTGACTTTGAACGGATTAAGGTAAATGAATGTTATATGTAACCTACTGTTAGTATTTCTTCTTTTGTAGAAGCATTTGCACTTGCACTACCCACATGAAGGATTCTCAACGAATATATCCATTGTGATAAAACTGACAAATCCGTAGGTGTATTTGGATTCAATAAACATTCTTTATAGTTGCTTTACGGTGATGATAAA